GGCCATATGTTTTTCCTGAACAATTTGCAAAGGCGCATATGTCAACCGCAGAAAAAGTTCTCGCCCACGTCCCCTTCATCACGCTTCCCCTCAGGCAATGCGGCGCTGAGTAGCTGTGGACATTTTGGGATCTCGGTAAGGAAAAATTGAATTGGAGATACATTTAATTGGGGTTTGATGAAAGGCACGTAACTAATTCACAGTCACTTCCCCATACAGTTAAGTCATGACTTACTCTCATGCAGCAGGGGCTTCCAGGAATATGCCCACCCACTTGGCTGACTCAAGGGGTGAGGTGACCAGAAGGGGTAAGGTCAGAGGTGGTGTCCTATTACTCACTTGTCCTACGGTGCCCAACCAGCAGTACATGGATGGTGCAGGAGGAGCCAAGTTTGACACGTACACAGCCAGAAACCCCTCTGCAGAACACTCTTCCAATTCCCAAAACCACAATTTTAAGCAGACTATTCAGTTCTTCTCATCTTATCAAAAAACTAAAAGTTTTTCTTTCGGTCAGAAATAAATGGATTACGGCAGCACTTACAATGATAAGTGTACCATACTACTTTCTTCTCTGTATTTAACAGAAGTCACACAAACATAATTTGTAAGAATTCCTGTATTCGTAGGGCACAGCAGTGTAGGGTTTCTATGAACAGTGAGTATTTCTATGTGAATTCAACCCAATAAATCAAGATGGCATCTTAGCTCATCTGATGTATCTTGTCATGAAGTCTGGCAGTTCCTGAAGAAATTGCACACACATCAAGGAAGCAAAATCATTTGAAGAAACAAATGATAATGAGCTGTACAAATGAGTTAATAATAAAGATACCATATTTTGCCGGATCTTGTTCCCATTTTTTTTTCAAGTTTGTAGTTTGTGGGTATTTCTTTCTTTGTTCTAAATAATAGTCATTTTTCACACCTGATTTTGTTTGTAACTGTATTTTTTTTCTTAAGGTTATTAAGTTCAGCCCACAAACCTGTATTGATTCATCTGATTTATGCACTTTTTAATTAAAACAATTTTTTTTAATGTTTAGTTTTGAGAGAGACAGAGATAGAACATGAGCAGGGGAGGGGCAGAGAGAGGGGGAGACACAGAATCCGAAGCAGATTCCAGGCTCTGAGCTGTCAGCACAGTGCCTGATGTGGGGCTTGAACTCACAAACCCCAAGATCGTGATCTGAGCCAAAGTCAGATGCTTAGCTAACTGAGCCACCCAGGTGCCCCTGCATTTCTTCTTTTAATGGAACACATCCTCCAGTATTTTCCTGGCAATACGTGTGTGGGAGGGGATGCTTGGCTGGCTCAGTTGGGAAAGTGTGAGACTCTTGATCTCAGGGTTGTGAGTTGGAGCCCCACATTGGATATAGAGATTACTTAAAAGTAACAAAATCTTTTTTTTTTAATTTTTTAATGTTTATTTATTTTTGAGAGAGAGAGAGAGAAACAGAGTATGAGCATGGGAGGGGCAGAGAGAGAGGGAGACACAGAATCTGAAGCAGACTCCAGGCTCTGAGCTGTCAGCATAGAGCCTGACACAGGGCTCAAACTCACGAACCACAAGATCATGAACTGAGCCAAAGTCAGAGGCTTAACCAACTGAGCCACCCAGGCACCCCCAAAAATAACAAAATCTTTGAAAAAAAGTGTGGGAGTTTGATGTTTGGAATTATTTGTTTGTTTGTTTTACTTGTCTTGGATCTTGGATATCTAAAAGTGCCCCTTTTCTACCTTATACTCAATTGGTAGTGTAGCTGGGTATAGAATTCTTGATTGGAAGTTATTAAGCCTTCAGCATTTGGAAGGTATTGTTTCACTATCTTCTAGCTTCCAGGGCTGTTGTTGAGAAATCCAAACCCATTTTGATTTCTGTTCCTTTGCATGAGACCAATTTCTTGCCTCTGGAAACTATAGACTCTTCTTTGTTCATAGGTTTCTATGCCTTGATGTGACCTATTTTATCCATTGTGCTGGACACTCCATGAGTCTTTAAATCTGGAAACTCATATCATACAGGTTGGGGGGATTTCTTGAATTATATCACTGATGATGCTTTCTCTGTCTCATTTGCTCTCTCTCTGAGAAGAGAGGGCATTATTATTATTTGAGAAATTATTCAGATGTTGCATCTCCTATACTGGATCTCTAATTTCTCAACTTTTCTATTTTTTCTCTTTGTCCTTTTGCTTTACTTTCTGGGAAGTCTTCCAACCCTTCTATTTATTTGTTAATATCAACTATCATTTTTTTTTTAATTTCCAAGAACTCTTTTGTGGCTCCCTGAATCTTCATGTTTTATAACATCCCGTTCCTGTTTCATAGACATAATGTTGTCTGCTATCTCTTTTTTTTTTTTTTTAATTTTTTTTTCAACGTTTATTTATTTTTGGGACAGAGAGAGACAGAGCATGAACGGGGGAGGGTCAGAGACAGAGGGAGACATAGAATCGGAAACAGGCTCCAGGCTCTGAGCCATCAGCCCAGAGCCTGACGCGGGGCTCGAACTCACGGACCGCGAGATCGTGACCTGGCTGAAGTCGGACGCTTAACCGACTGTGCCACCCAGGCCCCCCTAGGAACAGTCTATTTTAAAACTCACCCTTCCATCTGTCATTTTTCTCTGGCAATAGACAGTAACCGCCTGCATTTCTTTCCAGCTCAGAAATAACAACAGACTCCTTCCATCCAGCACATTTGTAAGACAAAACGTTTCCATACCTTGACAATGCTTTGCTCACCTTCCACTCCAAGAACCAACACATGACATCAGGACATCTTGACTTCCACTATGTAGTTAGGTTGTCACGCAAAGGATACAGAAATGCCTCCCTACTTTCCTCATCTCTGTCTCCTTGCCGCCGCCGCTGCCTCTGTCTGGGACCGTCACCGATCCTTCACATCTGAGAATTTCTGACATCATTTACAGAAAGTCAGTGTCACTATCCCAGGGAAGGCAGTTCAACAAACTTTAGAGAAAGAAGACAGTAACGACATAACTTGTTCCTTAGGCTTAAACTGGTCGAGCAGCAATTCTGATATTTTGAGTTCAACACACTGCCATTCCAATATTTATTATTATTATTATTATTATTATCATTATTATATATGGGAGACAATGGTGCTATGGATGCTAGGAAAAGATGTTGGGGTATATATCCCTGTTTAGAATCAGGACACCAGGGGGTGCCTGGGTGGCGCAGTCGGTTAAGCGTCCGACTTCAGCCAGGTCACGATCTCGCGGTCCGTGAGTTCGAGCCCCGCGTCGGGCTCTGGGCTGATGGCTCAGAGCCTGGAGCCTGTTTCTGATTCTGTGTCTCCCTCTCTCTCTGCCCCTCCCCCGTTCATGCTCTGTCTCTCTCTGTCCCAAAGATAAATAAACGTTGAAAAAAAAAAAAAAAAAAGAATCAGGACACCAGACAAAATCTGCTTTCACTCTCTGGGTCAGCGTAAACATTTTAAAAGGTTGCTGAGATTTTTCTCAAGATTTCTTCTTCTTGATGGAGTGTCCTCACTCATTCACTGGGGGAGACCCAAGAGCCTCCCTACTTTTCTCGTCTTCCTCCCTCCCTCTAAGCCTCAGTTTCCCCACCTGTCTGCCTGATGAGGGAAGTGAACCAGAGGATAAGCTCTGAGGTCCCCACGAGCTCACAGTCCAAGCCCTTCTAGGGAGGGGAAAGGTTGGGTCATGCCCTCAGTCTGGACGTCTCTGCCTCCCCCGTGGACTGTGGGCTCCCGAGAGCTCCTATGGGCTCTTCTCATCCGTGAAGACACAGAAAAGGAAGGGCAGGAAGCTCCTAAGAGATGACTTCTCAGCCCGTTCACAAGGAGAGTAGGGGCTGCAGTGGGAGAGGTTCAGTGCCCCCCAAGAATTAGACAGAAGTTGGGGCCAGACAGTGGGCTGATGCTTTCGCATGTACTCAGGTTTCTGGCCCTCCTTGGCTGTTCTGGGTGACCTTGGCCCAGCCTCTGGCGGCCCACAGGCACAGGTAGCCCATGGAGTCATTTTGGTGAACCCCTATTCTGCCGGCTGAGAGCCCCTGAACTGTCTACTGCTTTTCTCTGTGGCCCTAGACTTGGTGTGTAGCCTACAGGGTGGAAGGGAGAACCTACAGGACCTGGAAAGCCCGACACAGGACGCACACAGGCAGCTGGGAGGAGGCAAGGAGCCCAGCGCCATCGACTTTTACTGCCCGAAGACTGGCTTGAATGCTTCATGCCCAGGTCACACATTTACTGCTCCACACTGTCTCCTCTTGGCCCTTTCCAGCCTCATGCATTCATGCACCCATTCATGCATTCTTCAAAGCAGCTCCGTTTGTAGAAAACCCTTCCTGTGCTGTCGAATCCTGCCTCTGTAGAGGACTAACTGCCTTTGGGCAGGTAGCAGAACTCAGCAGTCTGCCTCGTGTGCAACGAGGACGGGGGTGCTGCGAGCATTAGACCCTGTGCAGGTGAAGAGCCCGAGGCTGCAGACTCGCAGTTCTGCAAACAGGAACGGCGGCCCGGCTTTAAAGTCTTGCGCGCCCAAAGCAGGTAGGAGAGGAGCGAGCCCACGAGAAACCAGGGCTTGGGTGACGCACAAATAGGATCCCCGTGCAAAACAGGGCTCACAAGGGCCTCCCTGTCGCCTGGACAGTGAAAGGAAAGCGGATCGGCCTCTCCAAAGGCGACCTTTGCGCCTGTAGGCACAAAGACTTGAGCACTCCCGGCCTTGGGAGGAAAGACTAGCGCGGCAAAGTGGCAACAAGTCCCGGCACCCTGGGAGGGAGAGGCGGGCGGCTGCGGCAGGAAGGGGAGGAGGAGGAGACAGAGGAGGGGACAGGCCGGCCCAACTCGTGCTCCCCCGCGCAGGGCGGAGCCCGGGCCCGCCCGCCCGCCCGCAGGTGAGCTAGCCGGGGAGGAGCCGGTGCCAGGCTCAGGCGCCCGCGGCCGCCGCTCCGAGCCACTGGCCACAGCCGCTTTCCCCGCCGAGGCCGAGGCGCCCCGGAGCCATGGCCGGCCAGACCCGCGGGGCCACAATCGCACTGCTGGGGATCCTGCTGCTCGGCGCCGTGCGCCCGGGAGCTGGTGAGTGCGGTGCGGCGGTAGCGGGTGGCGCTGGGCGGTGGAAGCGGCCGGAGAGCGGGCGCCCGGCGGAGGGTGCGGGGGCGCAGAAGGAAGCAAGGTGCGGGGGATGCTGAGCCGGGGTGGGGGCGACACAGTCGGGATGCATGGACGGCGCGGGGTCCCCGGGACCGCCCGGCGCCTGGGCGCGCCGCGTCGGGCAAAGTGGCCGTGCCCTCCTGGATTCCGAGCAACCTCGCCCTGGGCGCAGGCCGCGGCACATGGGAGTGTCCCCGAGCTGGGAGCCCGGCGGTCGCGGGGATGAGCCCGGCGCCGACGGCTCAGGAGGAGAAAAGCGCGCGCCCCAGCTGAGGCCCGGGGACCTGCCGCGCATCGGGGGCTTTACCTGAGTGCTTGGAGGGCGCCGGGGCTGGCCGTGGGGAGGGAGCTTTCCTCTCTCGGCCCACCCTCTACCTCCTCACCTGGGGCTGGAAGAAGGGGCAAGAAAACAGCGGTTTGGCCCGGTAGCGCACGGGATCACCCTTTTCCCGGTCCGCACGCCCCATTCTAGCTCTCTCGAAGTTCCGGAAAATTAATTTGAAAATGGAAGCGCCAGGCTGGAGAAGGGTCCCGGCGTTCTTGCCACGCGGGCGGTGAGCTCCCGTCCCTCGTGCCTCAGGGTAGTGTTTGTACTTTGACCCCGCGAAGGGGGTCGGCGAGGGGATGTTCCGGAGAGGTGTGTGAATTTCCAGTTGATTCCGTTGTGCGCCGGGACCGCCGCCTCCCCGCTGCGGGTGCGCGCTCCTGTGGGCTCTGGAAGTAGATCGAAACGTAGAAATAACCGGGGTTCTTCGTGTAAGAACTTGATTCGAAGCCTTTCCTGAGGCTAGCCCAGGTTTTGTGATTTCTAAAGAGTTATCCGGGAGGCGAGTGGGGTCTTGGATTATTCTTTGGTGCCCCTAAGGGGGCGTTTGTATTCGGCGGGTAGGTAGATTAGGGTAAATTAAGTTAAGGAATAAAACGAAGCGGGTGTGGTGGACTTTGGCGTTCTGGCAACTGCCATCATTGCAAACCTACAGGAAAGCTTCCTGGTTCCTTTCTCCAACGGCGTCAGGTGACATATTACTTACTGTACATTCCCTAGACCATTTTAAGACCACATTTAAAGCCTTGTGCCCGTATGCATATCTCTTGTAATATACATTTACCGGAAGACTGCATTTTCAAGATTTCCTTTGAAGAAAAAAAAAAATCCGTCTAAGAATAAAGAGTGATTTCGCGGGTGAAAATGCATGTAAATGTGTGTGAGAGAAAAATGTGTGCCCATCACACTTGGGAGCTGTACTGAAACTCGGAGTTGTCTGAGGTGTTTCCGGTTGTCTGTGATGACCAGGAGTCCCCCAGTAAGAATATGGTGTAAATCAAGGCATTACCAATGCCAAAGATGACAGGCTGGCCTGAACGGGCCTCTGTTAACTAACTGATTTCTCCCTTTGGCCTGGAGAGGCTGCCATTTTGGCCTACAGTACTGTCCCTTTCTTCTAGGAAGTTGTTGACTGTCGGAGCGAGCTCTCATGGTTCAGGTATAAATACGGGGAAGCCTAGGGACTTCCCACCTCACTTTCCAAAATCTTCCTGTGGTCTCCGGAATTGGCTGTGTGTGGCCACCTCGCTGGCCTGAACTGGGGGCTGCGTCTTGGAGGTTGGAGCCATTTCAGAGGACAGCCGCTTTGCCTGACGTCTTGGGGTTGGCCTAACAGGAAGGGGTCTTTGAGAAGTTCCTGGAGTCTGTCCAGAGAAGATGGAAAAAGCCAGAGAGCCCGGCACTGTGGATTTGTTTTTTAAATCCCTGAGCTCTCTTAATGAAGACGGCCTAGTGAACATGAAGTTGGTGTCCCTGCAGAACTGAACTGCAAAGGGAAAGTTAATGTCTTGGTGTGATGTGTTGGGGTGAGTGTGGTGTATCCCCCTGCTCCCCCACTTCCAAGAGCGAAGGACTGGTTAAGTTGGAATCAGAACCGTGGTAAAACCTCAACTTACTGGCTTTTTAAGAATTGCTGAGTGGGGCTCCTGGGCGGCTCGGTTTTTTGAGCCTCCGACTCCGGCTTAGGTCATGATCTTGCGGTTCACGAGTTCAAGGCCCCCGCGTCGGGCTCTGTGCTGACAGCTCGGAGCCTGGAGCCTGCTTCGGATTCTGTGTCTCCTTCTCTCTCTGCCCCTCCCCCACTTGCATTCCGTCTCTCTGAAACATAAACAAACATTAAAAAAAAATTTTTTTTAAAAAGAGAGAATTGCTGAGATGCCAGAGTCTGGGTTCGGTGACCCCATTCTTGCCGCCATCATGTTTCACCAGAAATGTGAGCAAGCATCAAATGATGTGTTCGCTGACCCCGGATGAGCCTGCGTCTTCGTCATTCTTTGGATTCAAATGAGCAGCTGGTAGCTGTTGTCTGGAATGTGTAACTGGTGTGAGTGATGAGTCTCCCTCACCCCCACAGATTTTCGTGGTTCAGGGTCAGAGAGGGCCACTCTGCTGACCCGGAGGATGTGCTCTGATGCTGGCCCGTCAGCCTCAGGGTTCACCTCAGATGCTCTTCTGGGGGGTTCTCCCGGGCTATCAACGTAGGAGAAGAAGGTCGAAAGCAACAATTAAAATATCTCACGTAGTATATAGTTACTGTAGAAAAATTGGTAATAAATATAACATGAAAAAAAAAATAATCTGTAAGCAAAGCACATTGGTCACTTTGGTACAGTCTTATCGTGTGCGTGTGTGCGCCCAAAACCAGACCTGGGACCATGCATTGTATGGCTTTAACCAGCCCCCCACAGGTGGACATTTAGGCGGCTTCCCACTTTTCCTGCTAAAAAAAACAGAATGTGTCCAACAGTAGGGGACTGCCTGTGTCCATTTTGATAGGTCTGTTCAGTGAAAAGACATCGAAAGTGACGTGGTGCGGAATCTATAATGACATCAGATGATGTCATCTCTGTGTTGCCGAGGTTATAAAATAAAAGCTGAATTATCACATTTTGATATATCCGAGCATGAATTCTTGTCGGCTATATCGCTCTGCACACTTCCTTGACGATCCTGTCCGACTGAAACTCTGGGACTAGAATTGCTGGCATGGAGAGTAGAGAAAATGCTCAGGCTTTGGAGACATCCCGCCTTGTGGCCCTCTGGAGAGCTCGTCCTGTGGCCCTGGTGTACGTTCGGGCCAGCGTGTGCCGGTCCCTGGTTCCCACACTATCAGGCTGTCCTCATAGATGTCAGTGACATCTATGGAAGAAGAAGCCTTTTCCTCCCTCTAGTGCAGCAAGCTGGGTCTGAACGGTGTTGATGGATGTTCGAGAATCTTAGGAGCACCCCAGCTAAGCGATTATGTTGCTGAAACACACACACACACACACACACACACACACGCGCGCGCGCGCGACAGAATGGAGCCCCTTGACTTATAACACAAGCCTCACCTGCGGGTTTGGACGGGGGCAAGGGTGGGGTTTGCTGGTCAGGATTCATGATTGCGGTCAAGGTGGGTGGGGCAGGGGGGGAGGTCAGGACCCCTGCTAGGGAAGACCCATGGCTAAGGCTGTCCACCTGAGTGATGAAGAACAGTTCATACCCTTTAATTATCATTCTAAGTGATAAAAATTCTCCCACAAATTATTTCAAACCACTTCCTACAGCCTTGTAATTAGCCCGTCACCTTCTCCCAGGCAGCTGGCAACGTTCTAGACAATCGGGCCGGGAGAGCCAGGTTTCCTACCTCACCCCTTTGTAGCCTTGGGTTTGTATTTCAGGACATCATTTTTAAAAATCACTAACCACTGCTTGTAATAGCGAACACGTACTGCTCTGCGGCAGCCGCCCTTCTGAGTGTTTTATGTGCCAGCATCTCCCGTTTACCGTCAGTGATGTTTTCTTTAAAACCACACGTGCTGCATAAACACACTAACCGATGCCCTGCGTCTCACGATTTCACACGGGAGACATGGTAACAACCCCCACCCCCATTTGGAAATATGGCATTTCCAAAAGCCATATATATACAGGGGAACCGGGGGGGCTCAGTCAGTTAAGCGTCCGGCTTCGGCTCAGGTCATGATCTCGCAGTTCATGAGTTCGAGCCCCCCCATTGGGCTCTGTGCTGACAGCTCAGAGCCTGGAGCCTGCTTTGGGTTCTGTGTCTTCCTCGCTCTCTGCCCCTCCTCTGCTCACACTCTCTCTCTCTCTCAAAAAATAAACATGAAAAAAAATTTTTTTAATGTTTAAAACAAAACACTGAGTGTTGTGTTCATATTTGTTCTGGGGATGTGTATGTGCTTTTAATACTCAAACAGTTTAAAGACTGTGCTTCGAAACACCTGTACATGGTAACAAAAATTCCAGTTGTACAAAAGGGTACGTGGGAAGAAGTATGTCCCCTTCCACCTCTGACCCCGGGCTTTCGCCCAGAAGCAGCCATGGTTTCTTGTGCATTGTTCCTGAGCAATTCTACGCAAGCACAACCTCATAAATGTATGTACGTCCCTTCTTTACACAGCCAGACCATAACCATGGTACATGGTATGGGATGTATCTCATATGCTTCTGGAGTTTGCTCACTTAGCAACCCATCTTGTTGTTTGCTCCATATCAGAACATATGGGGGCTGCCGTTCTTTTCGATGGCCACGTAATATTCCTGGCCGTGGGCACGCCGTGTGGTGTCACCAGGCTCTTACTGCTGGGTTGTTTCCAGTCTTTTGTTTTTAAAATTGTTTTTTAATGTGTATTTATTTTTGAGAGAGAGAGAGAGAGAGACAGAGCATGAGTCGGGGAGGGGCAGAGAGAGAGGGAGACACAGAATGGGAAGCAGGCTCCAGGCTCCGAGCTGTCAGCACAGAGCCCGACGCGGGGCTCGAACTCACGGACCGTGAGATCATGACCTGAGCCGAAGTCGGACGTTCAACCGACTGAGCCACCCAGGCGCCCCCAGTCTTTTGTTTTTATAGAGAGCTTCAGTTGCCATATTTGCA